GTGCAGGTTCTTGCCACCCTCCCTCCTGTCAAGTTACACTGTCGGACACAAGCTGTGAGAAATCTGCAGTCTACTGTCCCTGCGCGTTGGCATTCTTCGCTCTCTTGACAAGCGAGCTCTGTTCTCCAGACGGTAGTAGGACAATGCAAATTGTTCTGAGCAAAGGAAAAAACTGACTTTATTGCACTTTTAGTTTTTTTTTTTTTTTTTAAACAAAAAACATGGCAGATGCATATTGTGTCTGGTTATATTGGGAGTTTTACTTTTTTCTGTTTTGAGGGGGATGGGGCCAGCCAAGCCATTCAGAGAGAACATGGGTCCAGAGGACATTCTCAATGGAAAAAGTTGGGTCTGCAGCACCCAGAAGAGAAGAAGCCAAACTCTTGTCATTCTGAGTAAACACTCAGGTTGGCAAAAAAACATACTTGAATTTTCATTCATCTTCTCAGCTGCTGAAGAATGTCCCTACCAGAGCCTCTTGACCTCATCAGCCTACGGTTTGGACCGCCTAGCTCTCCAGCACATGGGATGAGCCAGCCAAGCCAGACTGACCAGGAGAAGGAGATGCTTGACAAAAAAATTGGAAATACCAGTTTCCTCCACTGCCAGGGACTTCCAACTAAATAGCCATGTGACTTTCTTAGTGACTTGGGGGACAAAATTAGTGATGAAATGGCCACCGCCATATTGCCGCTAGTGGACAAGAAGAGGAGGACTAAGTGAACCCGCCTTCCAACTGCCAGAAGAACCTCAGGATTTGGCATCATAGGGCCAGGAAATAAAATCATTGTGTACTGTCTGCCCCGATAGCTGAGTGATAGCATTTGGGCTGGCCTGCCGCACCAGGCACCAGGCACCTGCAGATCTCCCAGCAGGTCCACAGCAGCATGCTTAGGACTGAGCACGTGGGGCTGTATGAACAGGAAGATAAGATTGGCTGGTGCTGGAAAATTCCAAGGGAAAGGATACTGAAATGAAAGGTCTGAAATTATCTTCTCATTTGGATATAGACTCCTTCCAAATAAGATGGCCATGTACCTAGAGCGTGTGCCCCAGTCCACTGTCTGCCTCCCCATGTGGGTTAGCCACCTGATCTACTACCATGAAGAGTCTTGGTTCTTCGTTCACTGCTTGGAAAGTAATGTATGGAGTTAATCTTACTGTGCTCAGTTTTCATTTGAGTTCAGTGGCTTATGTAAACAGTGACCTCTTTCCAGATGTGATAGAGGAGAAAGAACCACTTACATCAGGGAACAAGGCCTTCTATCTGGGAGTAGAGAGAGCTAACTCACCAAGGAGGACAGTGGCTGGTGACTTAGTCTGGTGGTTTTGGGAACTCCGAAATCATTGCCTCTGGCTTGAGATGGAGGGCCGTGTTTTGGACCGGAGGATGTGGGGATACTTTCTGGTAGTTGGCATTTCCTGACAAGTCCCTTGATGTATCTTACATGGAGCAGAGATAGCAACAGTGGCATGAATCAGAGTTACTGGGCTTTACCTGTTCCATCGGGCCTTGGCTAGGAAATACCATTTTACTGGCTTCAAACCTGCTCAGCTCATGTAAGGATTGTAATCTTTCATTTCTTTAAAAGAAATTTTCCTGTATACAAGACAGAGTGGCTGGGAGACACAGTGTCACATCCCTTTTCCACAAGGATTTTGAATATTGAGGTTTGCTTCCTTGATAATACCTAGTGGTTAAGGCACCATCACAGAAATGTACAGTTTCTCAATTGGCATTTGGGCAACTCTAACTTCCTGTATAGAAACTTTAACTTCCTTTTCCCTGTGTAGAAGAAAACCTTGCCTCTCAAGGGATGGCAAGGGGAAGTAGTGACAAAGCCTCTAGCATCCTGGCACTCCACACCCCACTAAGTGCCTCCCACCTCTGCTTCCACAAAAAAGCAAAGGCATTGACCAGCTTGGCTCAGGGCAAGCCCCCCTGCAGCTGAGTTTGTGACTTTTTTTGGTCTTAAATGTTTTAAAGGCTAGCTTTTGAAGGGTTAAACCTAAGCAGTTATGGGGGGTCCTTCCTAATGCACTGTTCTCATTCTCTGCACCACCACCCCCCCTCCAAAATCTCTTACTAGGTATTTGCTTTTCATAACAAAGGCGAAGAGCCCCACGTTCCTCTGGCATGTAGGGTAATGGTGATTCTTCCAAGGCCATTAGCATTCCAAGGTGGTCCCAGGCCTCTGAGAGATTCTATTGTGATCTTCCTGAAAATTAAAAAGTAAATAAAAAGACTACCTAAGGAATAATTTGGCCATCAGTTCCATCCCCGCCAGCACATCAGGGATCCCTCTTCAACCCTGTTGCTATAGTTGCTTAGTTCTGTGCCTCAGCCGGGTCCCTGAGGTTGGGCACTCCCTCCACCCACCACCCACCCAAATCCACTCACTATAGTTTTGGAACTTTCTCCATTTCACAGCATGGTGCCTAAGGATCTTTTTCTTTGGGATTGATGCAGTTGCTTCTGAGTTAGCAGTAAGTACTAGCAGCGTTCACTCAAAATATTCTTAATAGTATGCCATTAGGAGGACGTCTCCCAAGCCCTACGGTCCTTCAGGTATTGCATCCTGAGCAGATTAAGGCACGCAGGCCAGGAATCCACCAAGGCATAAGCGGTCCTTCTCTTATGACCAGAGGATGACCTATGTCTGTGCAATGAAGCAGCTAAAGGTTGATCACTTACACACACCTTGGCATTTCCCAGTGGTCTCACTCTGGACTCTGCAAGGGTGGGCAGTGTGCCAGCAGCGAGTGTGCTTTCCTGACAGCCTTAGTGAACATTCTGCTATATTGGGTCTGTCTAGAAGTAAACAGGGTCTAAGAAGGTACAAGTCAAGTGACTAGGCTAACCTCCAGTTAAAGCTCCATTTCACTCTGGAACGCAGAGGCAACAGGGGACAGCAGAATCCTGGGCTTTTCAGTAGAAATGTTGATTTGCCTGTTTTATCTGCATGAATTCCAGGTACAAAGAAACCACCTCTGCCGTTAGCCAGAAGAGGGTCCATCACCTCTATATCCCAGCTTAGTTAGTGCACTGGAAATGGACACTGATAGTGCATATTCATTGTTGATTCTCCGTGTTAGTAACCTCCTTTAATGTCAGAAATATGCAGTGATGGTAAATGTATGTCACATTGGTTACTAAAGATCATAGCCTTAACTTTTTTGTATGCAAAAGATAGAATTAATTGCCCCTGTCGGCAAGCATGGCTGATGTTTCTCAAAAATAAGTACTTCCATGACAGCATAGAAAGCATCTCAAAGGAACTTGATCTTTTGATGCATCTCTCCCAATTCCACATGCCTCCTGTGTGTCCCAGTCACCTCCATTTTCATACTGAAACCAGTTTTCCATTCCCAGTGAATTGCCCTGACAGTGTCGTCTCCAGCATCAGCCACATTAGGGCTCGAATTACTCAGATTGGGAGCTTACAGCGCCATACAGCCAACATTGCCTTTGCCAGTCCACTGCCACTGTCCCCGCCATTGCCCCAATGTGGGCAGATGAATTCCAGCAACCCTTAGGGAGCCAGGATAACCAGGCACCCCATCTGGATTGGCCATATATAAGCACCAGGCACTTGTTTTGGGGGCTCTTGTTTTGGCAACTCCGGGCCTCCAGGAAAGCCCGGTCTAGAAATTGATGGCCAGTGATTCCCAGTCTTCCCTATGACGGGTTGGCAGGAATCAAAATGGGATTCCTATGGTTTTATTGTTTTGGGGGTGGGGGGAGGGAGGCAGCGGAGGGGTGGCTTTGTTTCTGAATAAAGAAGAGAAGAAACTATGGCCCTTCTGAGGGTTTGCAGAGTTTGAGCAGTGTTTTAGCCACAAATAAATCTTGGAAGTCTTTGATCAATTAAGCAGTCTTAAAAACATGTTTTTCATAACTCCTTTTGCAGGTGACTGAGTGCAAAAGAATAGATTTCTACACTGTATTCAAAAATAGTAAGTAGGTTCCCTGGATATAGACTGTAGTAGTTGACAAATTTCCTCAAAAAGCAACCAGGAAGTCCACTCCAGTATTTGTAGATCAGCTTACAAAGGAAAAAGTGAACATGTACTCCATATATTTCTAGTTTTGTTACCAAACTTGATGTTATAAAGAAACCTCAGTTCTGTGGACAGAATTTCTTTTGTCGCTTTTCTTTTACTCCTCGCAATCTTATTTCCGGTGCCATCACCACCTTCAGAGTCTCAGAGCAGAGGGTTATCCTTGGTAATAAATGGGGGTGCAGTGCAGTCATCCCAACAACACACACAGGAAAACAGCTGTTCTGACTGCCTCTTCCCTGCAAACCCCCTCTTTCAGGGCAGGTGAGACATTTTCAGTGTTCCTCTTCATGAGCTCCAGACCAAATCCCAGGCCAGCCCTTGCACTGAAAGCTTTTGTAAGAGGTTTATCAATCTGTTAGGAATGTCTCAGGAGAGATGAGCCATTTCTTTGGGGGGAAATATATTTACAGGTGGGTGTGTGGTTGTGCTTGTATGCCTGTGTGTGTGTATATGTGCGTGCATGCGCACGTGGTCTCATCTGTGCATTTCACTTCCATAAAGACTCACAGGCCAGGCTGCTGGGACCATGTGTTTAGGAATATCCTCGGAAGTAAACAAGTAACAAGTGAGCTTCTCAAACTAGTGTCACAGCAGGCTGGCTCTGGGAATGAGCCCCATTTATCAAGCAGAAAAGTAAACAGCAGAAAAGATAGAGATGAAACCAAAAATATTATAACCCCCCAATGGAAAATAATGTTGATTCATCAATTCCCATTGGATATATTACATGCTCTAATTTATTATATTATTATTTTGTCTGTTTCTTTAATCTTTGCCCATTGTACTTTTAAAAAGATGTTGGGATGTTGATTGCAATTTTTTAAGACTAGATATTGTATAAATCAGCTGTGGAAATCAGTTTTAAATGCTGTGTGGATGTGTCTGATTTATTGTTAAATGCCTTTTTTTTTTTTTAACTTTTTGTTTTATTTTAGATATGTGTTGTTGTTTCATAAACCCCGGCACTGGTCGCAAAGCTCAGCTGTGAAAATGAAATTTGTAGTATTTTTTAACATGAATGTTTATTTCAAGTGTATTTGAAATGGTTCCTCTGGGAGAGAGATTTGTACACCATTAGGAAAACCTCCTCTGCAGAGGAAGTAAGCCGCCTTTGGAGAAAACGGAAAATGGGTCTTGATGTGTTATCTCAGAGTAGCCCATTTCCTAGGGCACCATGGAAAAACACAAATGTGATCTTTAAGTATACCTCTTCCCTAATTTGGGGAGGAAAGGACTCAGTTTGCACCCTTTTTGTATGTAAAATAAAATGTCTTACCTTTCTTGACTAATTTTGTTTGGTTAGTTGGTTGGTTTGTCTGGTTTTAAATTACCCTGGTTCGTTTGTAACTAAGAATCCAGCTAGGATTACTTTGATAGGATTCAGGGCTCTAGTGAATGAAAATAATGCTTGATACTTTGGCATTCTTGCTTCATTCCTTTGGGTTGAACATTGCTCTCTCCTGCTGGTCACTTTATTTCTGTTTATTTCTAAGTTTATTTGTTGATTTGAGAACCAGAGCATGAGCAGGGGAGGGGCAAAGAAAGAGAGAGAGAATCTCAAGCAGGCTCTGCCCTGTCAGCATGGAGCCCCATGCAGGGCTCAAACCCAACAAACTTTCAAAACCCAAGAGTTGGATGCTTAACCAACTGGGCCACGCAGGTGCCCCCATTTTTTTTTTTTTTTTTAATTTTAGAGAGAGCATGAGCTGGGGAGAGGGGCAGATGGGGAAAGAATCTTTTTTGAATGCTTATTTTTGAGAGAATGAGCAGGGGAGGGGCAGAGAGACAGACACAGAATCTGAAACAGGCTCCAGGCTGAGCTGTCAGCACAGAGCCCAATGCCAGGCTTGAACTCACCAGCCGCAAGATCATGACCTGAGCGGAAGTCGGATGCTCAACCAACTAAGCC